TATATACCCTGAAACCAAAATAACTTATTCTGAAAAATGAATCAAAATGAAATACACACTTAGAGGTATATTTTGAATATAAAATTCTAGCAAAGGGATTGGAATAGGAAATCTCTACCCACCCTTATATTTGCTTTAGGTGAAAACGTTGAGTCTAAGATGTTCCAATTGATGGAAAAAATGAATTTTCATCATTTCAATCTTGAAAATTGAGTTGTAGGGAAGAAAGAATGGTGTGTATATTTATTTAAATACCTTGACAGCAGTTTTCCCTCGAAATTTGTTAATAGATACCCTTGTACAACTGTACACTGAAGTATAGGACTGTTACTTGTAGCATTGTTTTTAATAGTGAAAAACTGCAATAATAAAAATATGCAACAGAACTAAGGCTATGTGTACTAAGAAAGGTCTCCAACAGAATTTTATGTGAAAAAAACATGTAGAACAATTTTTCTGGTGAGAATTCCATTTATGGGAAATAAGCTGACAAGATGTGTATGTAGCTAGCTTTATGTCTACCTAAATTACGTAGATATCTTTAATTTTTGGAAGGATGAACAAAAAAGTAGTTAATTGCTTTTAGGAATGGAATTGGGAAGGATGAGTTTAACTTCATTTTTATATGCCTTCATTTTTATATCCTTTTTTAAATTGTGGATTCTTAGTAAAATGGGTTTACAAGATACTAGTTTTCAAATTTTTATCTCCAGGATTCAGGAGATACTGACTTTTAAAAAGTTTAGTTGTTGGGAGTTGTCAACTTCTATAGCTTTTCTATTTATTCGTAAATGAATTGAGTGATTTTTCAGAATCGTAAGCACATCTAGACCACAGTGTTACAATATACTTTTTTTAGCCCTATCATTGTGACCTGACTTTTATCAGCAATGCAACTTTTGGTTAGTTCAAAATGAATATTATAAAATAATTAAAATGCCTACTGTGAGGCAAGCACTTAGATTGTGGAGTAGCAGTCATTTAAGAAAAACTCAAGAGTATTCTTGTAGTGAATTTGACAGGTACCCTTTAAAAGAACTCAGTGAAAAAGTTTAAGGGCTTTAGAGAGTTTCAAATTTGTTATTTTTAAATGTTATTTTGTGTCTCTGGGTATCTAAAAGTTCTGTCATTATGTAGCAGTCCCCAAACACAGATACTTGATTTTTCTTGAGTTAATTACCATCTTTTCTTCTGGTGACTTTACATGTTATGTTAAACTTCAAATAAATATGTAAATTATTTTCTCCCATCTTTAGAGCAGTGTAACCACCCATAAACTGTAGTTGTACATTAAATATTATAATTTCTGTTTTGACCCCTAGACTCACTGGGTTGGCAAGAAGGTTGTACCTTGTTTTTACTAGAGTTCTGTCCGCCCAATCAGTCAATCCCCTGTTGGGTAGAGGTTCTAGAGGCTGATACAGTTACAGGATGTTGGGATGGACGTGCAGTGTCATCCTCAAGACATTTACTCAAGTGAGTTACTGCTGAAACATCTTTCATTCTGACCTTTCAAATTTGGCAACTTCCAGCAACATGACCATCTGCAGTTTCTATGCCTTACTAAGGGCAGAGGTATCTGCAGGGTTGACCCTGGATAAACAGCTATACTCCCTGTTGGTTTGTGGCTTCTTCTAGATGGCTTTGGCAGAAAACGCCAGCAGCACTACACCCTCTCCCCATATATACATGTTGGTGCAGACACACACAACGAGCTTTATTCAAACCAGTGGAATCTCTTGTAGATAAATGCCTCACTCTGTTCCACACAAACATTTTATCTGTACTCCAGTGAGCTTGTTATCTTTGCGGTCCAAACATTTTGTATTTATCTACCCATGATTACGTCTGTGTACTAGTTCTGTAAGTATTTTGCAACATAAAACCCAGAGACACACTCGGACTATTTCTCCTTTCTGCTTTGCCACATCCTTCTGGGGCAATTAACACAGTGCCCATTATCTCTTTAAAAGGGAGGAAGAGGAAACAAAAAGAATTTTTAAAAAGGAAGAGAAAGGAAACTATTAGAAAAATTTACATTAATCTTTCAAAGGTACTTTGCCACACTTTTTATTAATGCTTAGTTGCTCTGAGTTTGTACTTTAGCAATTTTGTCAGTCTGTTACTGAGCTTCCCAGGGATTACAAACAGTACAATGCATGTATTTCTTGCTTGTTTCTTGCTAAAATAAAGGCTTCTTTGGATCATTTTATGTAGCCAGGAAATTTGCTAATTTATAAGTCATTCTCTAGTGTTGTAAACCTTTCCCTCCTCCCTGTACTCCTGAGTCGTGGGTCACACACTTGAAGTATTGTTGGCTTAGTAAACCTGTCTTGAGGCAGTTTGAATATACTTCCACAAAGATTTTGATACAGCTTCTCTGTCCTTCCCCTATTCAAAAAGGACTGCCTGACACGAAAATTTTTTTGTAATGTGTATTTAATTTTGGGGGTACATAAAACAGTCATATGGGTCAAAATTCAAAATGTAGAAATGAGTATACACTGAAAAGGCTTTCTCTCCTGCCCCCAACTACTCATTTTCTCTCCTCACAGAGAAAATGTTAATTTCTATGTTATCCTTACAGAAATTTTTATTAATAAGTGAAATGTATATTCATTTCTCCATATATGTAACATATGCACATATGTACGTGTATAGTACATTAATTTCCCTTTTTTTTATACAAGTGTTTATTGCTGTTCTGAACCTTCACTTTTTGGCTCACTGGTATATCTTGGGGACCTTTCCATGACAGTACACGAAGAACATCCTCATTCTTTTTTACAGCTGTGCAAGTTTCCATATGGTGTGCTTAATTAGCCAGTCCTCTACTTCCGTTGGTGATTAGTTAGGTTGTTTCCAGTCTTTATTATTATAAGCAATGCTACAGAGAATAATCTTGTACCTACATTTTATACGTATGTGTATCTTTAGGACAAATATCTAGAAGTAGAATTACTAGATTAAAGGATATATGCATGTATCCTTTCAACAGATACTGCCAGATTACACTACATAGAAGTTATACCAGTTTACTCCCTCAACAGCCATGCATGAAGAGTCTATTCACAGACTCACCATCAGAGAATGTTGTCAGCCTTTTGGATTTTTACCAATTGATTATAACGAAAAATGATACCTAATTTCTCTAATTATTAATGATAATTGAATTGAGCATCTTTTCATATGTTTGGCATCCATTTATAATTCTTTTTTGTGATAACATTCTTTTCCTAGTTGTATCTTGGGGTTTTGGATTGCTGGTCCAAAACCAGCAATTGGTTTTCTTACTGGTTCCTAGGAATCCTCTCTATTACAAATGATTTCCCCTTTGTGCTATAAGTTACAAACACATTTTATTTAAAACATTGTCATTTGACTTGACATTTGATTTTTGCCATGCAGATTTAGTGGTGTGTGTGTATCTAGTTGAATTTATGGATCTTAAATGGTTCATGAATTTTGTATCTTGGTTAGAAAGACCTTACTCTCTTCAAGGCTGTAAATAACTTTTCCAGTGATTCCTTCTACAATTTTATTTTTATATTTAGATCATTGATGCTTTTAGAATTTAGTCTGGTAGAGGATGTCAGATATGGATCCAATTTTTTTTCCTTTTTCTAGGTCACCCCATTGGATCAGTAACATTTTTTACTAACCTTTTTGGGCCGCCTTCTAAACTTTGTATTCTGCTCTGTCCTTTTGTCTGCTCATGTATCAGTCGCAACTGTTTTAAGTATTGAGGTTCTATAATATGTTTCGACATCTGGTAGGACTAGTCTTCCTTTGACTATTGCTGCTTTATTATTTCATATGAATTTTAGAATTAGCTTTTTTCTTCCAAGAAAAAATGTTCACATTCTCAATTTGAATTCTCTCCTTAGGTAACATAATATTTAATCAAAACAGTTATCACAATCTGTAGTTATCTAATTTATTAATTTATTTGCATGTTTATTATCTTTCTGCCCTACTACAATTACTCCAGGAACACAGCAATGTTTTCTTTTTTGTTCACCACTCTACCCCATTACCTAACATAGTAACAAACACATAGTAGCCCCTCAATATATTGGGTTCAGTGGATGAATAAGTGAATTAATTTATAAAAGAATTTTGAAAACTTGACATTAAAATACAGCCGTACTCCTTACTAAGAAGAGTTTACCACTTAAATATCAATATTCCTAGTCTTCCTATAACTATTTATGACCATGGAGTTAGATTCTCAAAAAGAACAAGTCATTATCCTTTTAATATCCTTAGTGGGCTATGATAAGTATTAACAAATCTTCAAGTTAATTTCTTTGTCTTGGGACTTTTGCTTATTCCACCCACCACCTCTGTCCCATTCAAACCTTTTCCCTTTTCTTGAGCCCAGTATAATACCGTGCTTTTAACTTGATTTCTGTGAGAAAATGCAGTTCCAAATTGACTGCAAATAAAATCGAGGATTCTAACCCATTTGTAAATTAGGAGTCAATTTTTGTTCATATACTGAGCAAGGTTAAAGAATCAGATTAGGTTTATAATGTTTATAGGAAAACTCTGAAGGGGAGATACTCCAAAATTGATTCATATGTCAAAAGTGCATGGTGTGGAATAAAATCACGTATTACTAAGTATTAAGACAGTAAGCTATGATTCATGAAGTTAAAAATATAAAGACATCTAAAAGTGAAATGTCTTAACCTTTTTTCTATAGTTGAATTTTATAAAACTGAAGATGACATATTCTTAAGTTGAATTTGCTCTCCTTTCTGCATATTAAATTATAATTTAATTAAAATATTCAGTGATATGACTTCTAGTTGTGCTTTAGTAATTTATGCTTCTACGTGGGTTGGCTTATACTGTGCTCAAATCTCTTACTATAATGTTGGTTACATACAATTTGAAGATCAGAACGTGTGATCATCTGCACATGAGAATATTGGTTTAACTTAAATATTTTGGTGTTGATATTAAGTTTTGCCCCCCTCTCTCTTCCCATTAAGGATTCTGGACTCTGCTTATAGTATCCCTAATTGCCGGATTCTCCTGTTGCAGCTTTTCTTGGACAGTGACTTATTTTGATTCTTTTGAACCAGGAATGTTTCCTCCTACTCCTCTTTCATCTGCCAGGTTCAAGTAAGTATTCTTGATTATTCTTGTTTCTTTTTTAACCCGTTCCAATTCTGTTAAGAATACTAAAATAGAAGCAAGAGGCTGCTTATTTGTGACTTGTTGAGACTCTAGTCTTTAATTTATAAAACACAAATGACACAAGGTTGTTGAGCTTGTAGGCTCAGCCTTAATGGAGAATATTTTAAATTCCATGCAGTTTTTTTTTAAAAAAAATGAAATTCAAGGAATTATTTAAGAACTGAGAAACTTTGACTATTTGTCCTTTGGGGATAGAATTTTATTTTAAAACAGTTTGTGAAGGCAAAATTGATGTCAACAGTTTGAAAGCTTTATAACTTAATAATTGGATTGGACTTTTTCTCAGGATTTTAACTGTGTGTAATAATAGTAAGCATTTGTGGCAACCAATTTATATGTCTAGATCAGATTGGATGATTGTCAAAGTGGAACAGTATTGCATTTCTCTGGTCTGTGTTTTCTGTGTTTTGAAGTATTTCAGAAAATTCAGTAGGCAGTGTTCTAATCCAGTATATTCATGCAAGGAAAGCTCTGGATTTAAATATAAATTCAAATAAGAGCATCTAAGATCTCTAGTTTATTCTACAAATGAGGATGAGGGTTGAGGGTTGGTGAAGACTTGTTAAATTTTTGTATATTGTTATAGTTGTTACTATTATTGTTATTACTACTATCTCCAGCTAACCTCATGTACAGGTTGTTAAGATAAGAACAAGTATTTGAGGGACTCTATAAATGTGAAGAACTAGTGATAGTTTTTAATAATCATTGGTACTACTGGCTTTCATTATTAGTCAATGCCCATATATTTTTCTGTTTTATAAATGTATCTTTAAAAATTTTGGCTTCACTTCAAATGAAATGTGAGTATATGTGTGTGTACGTGTGTGTGCGTGTATGCATGTATGTATTTTAAATGTCTTAATAAATCTCTATTTGTATATGGAACATAAATTATATACTTGCCAATAAATTTGTGTATGTGTGCAAGATGGAAAAATTATTAGTTAATCTAAATTAACGGAGAGTTAGGCATAATAGTGCAGTGCCACCCCATAGTTTACATGGGTATAACTCAGTTGGAAAGTTTGTTTTGTTAAGTGATATAGTAGTCGATTCAAATTAGTATTTTGGTGCCTGTTGACACCAGTTACTTTAACAAAGGGTGTGAGTCTGATGTAGTGAGACTTACTTCATAAGTCACAAAAAAACTTAATCTCATTTTTTTCTTTTACTTCTATCTCACTTTTTCACTGAATTTCAGCTTTTTGTTTCCAGCTATTTAGTAGATTTTGCTACCTGGATTTCAGAATCCACCCACTTACCAAGGCTTGAAACCATTATCCATTGTATTTATCCCTACACCAAGTCCAGTCTTTCCTGCCTTTTTAAATGTTGTTGGAAGACTTCCTCTTTGCACCCCCATATTTTTGCACTATTAAGGGCTTGGCCAGCATACTTGACTCCTTGTTTTTACCTCCACCAAGGTGAGGTGAGTAACCTCCCATCTCACTCTTCTAATTTGCCCTGTATCCTGCTGTGTTTCTAAAAACAGATCTAGTCACAGCTCTCTCGTTTATTTAAAAAAAATTTTTTTTTATTATACATACATGTGGGGTACAACATTGATATTTAATAATTGTATACATCATGTGGCAGTTAGATCAGTATATTAGCTTATTCATCATTACAAAACGCAATCTCTCTTTTTTAAAAGTCTTCAGTGGCTTTACCATTGCCCTCGAAATAAAGGTTAGCTCCTAAGTATTAGTATAATGAATTTTCCCCAAATGACTCTATGTTTCTGTTCTAACTTCATCTTCAGTTGTTTCCCCAATGAGTCTTATATTGTAGTCACATACCAGATTACCTGACATCCCCCAAATAAACTATGTAATTTTGAAATGTCATAACTTTACTCTTTCTGCCTGTCTTCCTGGAATGTCATTTCCCTCTCAGCTTCTCTTTCACCACCACCACCACCACTGCAATTCATAAGCTTCATAAATGTTAGAAAATTTTGGTGTTAGAGAAAAACATTTCAGTGTTCTCTTAAAAATCTGAAATTCTGAGAGCATTTAACTTATTTTGTTTTTAATTATCTTTGTATTTTTTATTAAGTTAGAACCAGTAGTGAAAGGTCTCAGTTTTCAATGTGTTTAGTCTTTCAGTTTTAATATAGTGTCAGATCAGACTTAGATTATATACTTGTTTATACAGCCCTAAAAATAGTTTTGAAATATATATACAAAACATATTTTGTATAAATACACGTGAATATCAATATGTGTATAAAATACAAAAATACTGTGTGTCTATACAAAGTAAATAGACAATACATTTTGTATATACACAACTGAATATATATATACACAAATATAAATGACACTGAGTTTTATAGTGAAAACCCTGCCCTCTAGTGTTTGTGGAAAATATCCCATTATTAACAAAATGTCAGAATAAGTATGTTCTCTGTGTCACCAGTAGAGTGAGTCCTTGTATAGGGAAACGACTTCTCTAACTTTTGAGAAACTGGAAATCTTCCGACTTCATTTTCTTAGAAATCAGATTAATATATTTCATTAATATGCATTAATATCACATTTTAACAAAAATAACTTTGTAAGAAGTTGTGTATTTTATTACCTAAAATAAGCAATGATATTATTAAGTGTATGTAATAGTCAATATTTCACATTGTGATTATTATCTGCTTTAATTATAGTTTCTACTAGTTCATGCATCTAAGTATATCACCTGCCCATGCAAAGCTACTGCATACAATGAGATCCCAGAGCTTTAAAAAATCTTGGACTTAAGCCCTCCTGATTAGAGAAAAAAGTTAGGGATGAAACTGCATTTTTCCTAACAAGTACACCTTTTAAATCAATGTTCTAGCATTACTAGGGATGTTTTAGAGGTTCCTATTAAAGATTATGGGGGAACTAGGTACTTCCTAAGCCACCTGTAGTTTTATCATTAGTCTGATTCTTCCATTTTTTTTTAACAGATGAAGAAACTGAGTCTCAGGAATTTAAGCAGCTTGCATGAAGTCGAATAATTTGCATGTAACCAGCTAGCACCTGACTTTATGTTTATTGTTTTTGCTTGCCATACTTGCTAATCCTCCTCCTTTTCATTATGAAATGGATTATTAGGAGAGATTTCACTAATTGAAACAGTGTCATTTTATTGACAATTAACAGGTACTCTGAGCTTTTGCTATGGGCAGTTTTGCCAAATCCAATCAAAATCTGTTCTTAAAATCTCACTGTTTGTGTCTTCTTCATTGTTCTCTCCCAGTGACCAGCGTGATCTACTTTAGACAGCACTCTCCATTTCACATTACCTGCGCACAATCCCCATCTAGTGGTGAAAGGATGTAGCTGCAGGTTTATAGCTATTCAGTGTGCCAAAAATAAAAACTACTCAATGATTATAAATCCCACCTAGGGTAGAAATGTTACTTTATAGTCTAGCAATAAAGTTAGTGGAAAAATGAAAATGTAAGTGATGGGTCTAGCAAAAAGTACAGTGCAGAAAGCCCCAGTAGTGTTGTAATTAAGAGTCAAAATATTTAGTAACAGTAATATGGAGAATTAGAAAAAGTTATTAAACTTGCTCTCCTTGTAGTACATTTTATGCAGAGTCAGAGATGAATGGCCATCATTCTTAAGAAGTTGAGGGTGTCGCTTCAGTGCAATCAATGGTAGTAATTACAAAAGTCTTATTGCTGACATGGAAAAATGCCCATTATTTAGATCAAAAGTTACATTTAACACCATTTACTCCTATGACCATCAGGCTAAGACATTAACTTTGTAGGGATATAAAACTAAAATAATCTGGGGATTCCAGAATAAGCCATTTTTGATAAGTGAAGTTGGTTTATTCATTTTAAAGCCAGAGAAAAGTGGCAAGCACCCCTAGTATCTAGTGATTTCTTTAGTAAATTAGCTGAAATCATTGTGAAGGGAGTTATTAAGCCAAGGAAGCTTTTTATGTCAATGAGATAGAAATATTATTTTATGCTGGAGAGAGCCAATTATTTCCAGGGAAGAAAAATCAATACTAGTACTTAAAGTTATAGGATGGGCTAACATGGAAATCCAGTGCTGCTGGAAATTTCAGATTTCAAGCTTATGCTGGTCAAAGGTTATATAAAAGTAAGACTTCTGATGAATTGAATATCTGAATCTAAAGCTTGGATTATTGAATCACTTATTGAGAAACAGATTTTAAATACTTTTTCTCCTTTTGTTGAGAAATGCTATAGAAATAGCTTGTCTTGCAGTAACAGCATTGCAGATTTTGGAGAATGTCTTAGTTCTTTATAAATCCTCTGTTGACTTCTGTGCTAAGAGCCTTCTCATCTTGAATCTTACAACTGAAGGTGAATTTTTCTGAGGCATAGAATGAATTGTCTTAAAAAGAATGATCTCAACCTTGAGCACAATTCTGTTTCCAGTTTAATGACCTTTGAATAGCTTATGTTTATGATAGAAGTATTTATTAAAAAATGTCACTGTAAATTTCCCTAGATAATTTTTAATAGAGACCTAAGCCTTCAAACCCATCCCTTAAATAGCCATTTTGAATTATCAGAAATCAATCAAAAATATTTCGTTTTTCTTATAATTCAATTCAATTTTAAGTCACAGTATTTATATTCCAGGTGCCTCTTGAATCACATTTGTGCATTTCCTAGAGTGAGGCAGATTGGAAGACATAATTGGATGTCCATTTTATAGAAAGCAGAACATAAATTCACTATTTTCCAGAAAACATTAGTGTTTTTAAAAAAAATATGTTGTTAGGGCTTCTCCACATTGGGGGTTAAGATATAGAACAAATAAAATAGTAAAATCATAGTAGAAAAGTGTTATAGGTTCTTAATTTGGGCAGTAATATTATAGGCCTTGGAGGTCAAGAAAAGTGGGTGATTTCATATTTAAATTAGAAATTTCTTTTCCAAGCACACCAGA